GCGCTCGACGAAACCGCGTAGCTGACGTCATCACAGGGCGACAACAGCGCGGCGACAGAAGCACGCTGTAAACGCTAAACCTAAAATTAACTATTTAACTTAAGGTAAGGGTTAGGTTTAGGATTAGGTTTAGCGTTACGTTTAGGGTTAGCGTTACGTTTAGAGTTAGGATTAGCGTTAGGTTTAGGTTTAGTTTTACAGCGCGCTTCTGTCACCGCGCTGTTGTCGGCATGATTCAGCGCTCATTCGTTGGAGCGCTTTAGAACACGCGCTGTTGTCACCGTGATTTAGTCGGGCACGGTTTTGTCGTTCGCCCTTTTGTTGGTGAACCCTCTAGGCCCATGATGGCAAACCTATGGCACGTGTGCCACAGGCAATACGTGGAGCCATTTGTTTAGGGCACACGAGGCATTGTTCTGTCAGCTCCAGTGCGCATCTGCGCACTGGCCAGCTGACTTCGGCTTTCTTTTGAGGCCGAAAAACCACAAAAAAACGGCCCTACAAGCAAACTGGAAGTTTAACAACGGACTTCCCATTTGCTCATAGGGCCGTTTTTCACCCTCCGGAGCCTTCAAGGAAGCCTCCTGAAGCCTCCGGAGGTCGAAAAACGGCCCTACAGAAAAAACGGAAGTCACCATTCCTGAACTTCTGGATTCCCCATAGGTCCGTTTTTCGCCCTCCGGAGGATTCAGGGAAGCTCCTGTAGCCTCCAGAGGGCCTCTGAAGCCTGGGGAGTGCAAAGAAGCCATGCCAAAAGCAGGGGGGCGCTGGTTGCGCACATAGCATTATGGGTGTAGCGTGCCCGCACACGATCCTTCTGTGCTCCCCTCACTTTTGGCACAGGAGCCAAAAAAGGTTAACCATCACTGCTCTAGGCCTCATTTTGCATGATGGCAAGAAGGTGGTAACTGAGGCAGGCCTGAAGAGGAGGCTGCGAAGGAGAGGTCCTTCCGAGATGGTCCAGGGTCTCCTCTTCCCCAGGTGGCAATTCCTTCTCCTCCTCTTGCTCCTCCAGTTCCCAGCAGCCTTCTTCAAAGGGAGAGTGACCATGTGTTCCGCCTTCTGCTACGAGGTCCTGAAGTGTTGCACGTCCAAGCTCAGCTCCACGCGGAGCGAGGCCTCGGCCCTCCTCTACCTCCTCATGAGGAACAACTTTGAGTTCACCAAGCGGAAGACCTTCTTAAGGACTCACCTCCAGGTCAGTGAAAAGGGGAAGAAGAGGAGTTTGCAAAAAACCACGAGACCTTCGCTGGCTCTCTTGGCCGCCGTTTTCCTCACGATCTCCTTCCTCACTCTGGAGAGGGGCGCTTAAAATATTTCCCCCCTTCGTCCCTGAACCTTTGCACAGAGAAGGAAAGTGGGAAACGTTGTCTCTTGCCGCCTTAAAGACTTCATAAATATCAGGTCAGTTTGTATGGATAGTTAGTTGAAGAGATGCTGGATGTGTTACCTGCAACTTCCTGGGAGATGTGCCCTTGTGACATGAGGAAGGTTAAAATAGCGAGGAAGAAGAAAAGCAGAAGTTTTGTTAGGAGATACCAGCCTCACCTAGTAGACCAGACAGGAAACCAGTTGAGCAAACTCTACTTTCTCGTAAAGCTCAGTAACAGAATCTTGCAAGTCTGAAAGTACATGACCTCCTCCTGCCTCCTATACAGCATGAGAAACTAGGGAGGGTCTCTATTGAGTTTCTTCCCCACCCGTTGTGCAGCCATGGGCTACGCTGTCTCTTATCTGACCGTTCCAGTGGTGGGTTCTGGACACCAGCGCAGCCAGTACGCTGCGCACAGGGCCAGGCAGAAGTTTCGCAGGCGCCGCACGCTGTGCGTGCTTGCTCAATGGGCCAGTCACGTTATTCAACGGCCATGAACACGGGTGGGCCAAATGAGCCACTGTACCGGTACGGTAGCCGCTTCTCCCGGCTACTACCAGTATGGCCATACGGTTCACTGACAAATACGCGATAGACATATGCGCGCCGACAAAACCGCGACGGACAAATGAGCGCAGTCAAAATCGCTAATTGATTTTCGACAATAGCGCGACGACAAATGCGTGACGACAAAATTGCGTCATCAACAAACTGTAGCCTTTAACATAGTGGGACGCGTATACGTACGTTATAACCCTAAACCTAAAATTTTTTCGATTGTATTGTGCTTGTCATCGCGCTTTTGTCATCGCGATTTTGTCGTCGCAAATTTGTGGGCCCGATTTTGACGTCGTGTTTATATCGGCGCTATTTTGTCGGCGCGCATATGTCTATCGCGCAATTGTCGGGTCACGGGCCATACTGCGCCGTACCTCCAGGAACCCACCACTGGACCGTTCTCTAGGCAGCATCTCTCCCAAGGTCCTTCTCACATGCCGTTACAATGCAGGAGAAGACCCCGGGGCTGGATTTAATCATCTGAACCCAATTTGCAGCCTCTTTAAAAGCCTGCGGTACATGGGTTTCCCCCCACCCACCGCTTTGCGTGGGAAAACACACCAGAATGCACCCTACCTTTTGAAATGAAGAAGAAGGGAAGTTGGCCAACCCTATTTCTATTTCCCTGGTGTCTTATGACTTCACCCAAATTGCATCCTCTTGAGAAAGGTGGCTCCTGTTTTTTGAAGAGATCTTCAACGATGACCTAGATCTGAGAATTTGCTCAGGTTCTGAATTCACCCTGGCGTTTCTCCAGAGTTGAGGGCTGTATCAGTTGTCTCGTTTCAGGCCTCCCTTGGCAACCCATTGGTGATTCAGGGGCAAGGAAGCTGGTGGCTTGGATCAAGGAGGAAAGGCCATGGGTCCGTGGGAATTTCCCATCTCTTCTCTGGGACCAAACCTAACTGCCGGTTTTCACCAAGCCCGTATTTGGGGTGCGCTTACTAAATGCAGGTTCAGCCCAGAACAGCGACTCAGGCAGAGACATTCCCAAGCAAGGGAGAACCCCCCCCCCTTGGGATAAAGACTGGTTCTTCCCAGAGGTTCAGCTCCCGTAGAATCAAAACCCAATCAGATCCTCTGATTTCCAATTTTTTTAATTTGCTTACATACCATTTTAAGTATACATTCACATAATGCTTATTCATCCTTACATTTGTCATTCTTATACATTTGTTATTTCATTTAATAGGTTATAATATCCAGTTTGGGTTGCTTTGTTTACCATCTCTTCCTCCTGTTGTAACACCTCCTTGTTTTCCCTTTCTTTTCTCCATCCCTCCCTTCTCTACTTCCTTCCTCCTCTCCATCCCCTTCCTTCTTCCCTTACCTCTCCCCTACTCCTACTCTTCCCCATCCTACCCTCTCTCCTTCTCCCTTCCTCCTCTCCTTCCCCTTCCTTCTTCCCTTACCTCTCCCCTACTCCTACTCTTCCTCTTCCCCTTCCTACCATCTTTCTCTCCCTTCCATCCTCCTCTCCTTCCCCTTCCTTCTTCCCTTCCCTCTCCCTCTACTCCTATTCTTCCTCTTCCCCTTCCTACCCTCTCTCCTCTTTCTCTCCCTTCCTCCTCTCCTTACCTCTTTCTTCTTCCCCCCTCTTCCTCTCCTTCTCTCCTCCTCTCTCCCCTTCTTTCTCTGTTGTTGTAGGTGTCTCTTTCAAATCTCAGTTTATGTTTTCTTGGGATGCAGATTGTCTGATTTCCATCGGAGGCTGTTTGTGGGATGATGCAATCAGCAGACAAGGGGTTCTGGACCAACATTGAAGGTCCTGGGAGGTTTGATATCCGAAGCCGTTCCTGTACGGGTCAACTGGAATCTTGTGGATTTCCAGAGCCCAGCAAGTCAGCTTGTCACTTCCTTAACTCTGAAAAAATGTCTCTGTTTCTCTGCTAGATCATTATTGCAGTGAGCCAGTTGATAGCTGACGTGGCTCTCAGTGGCAGCTCACGTTTCCAGGAATCGCTCTCAATCATCAATAATTTTGCCAACAGCGACCGGCCGGTGAAGGTAGGTTTGGTTCAGCGGAAGAAACTTTTTCGGCTCCTGATGAAAAGCACCCAACAGTTGAAGCAGGGGTGAAATCCTCCCTGTTCGGCCTGGTTCGGCTGAACCGGTAAGAACAATTGTCTCTGGTTCTGCGAACTGGTAGTTTAAAAAAAAAAGCTTCCAAGGATTGTGCGACTAAGCTTTAAAATGCTTTAAAAATCTAAAAAAAAAGCTGAAAGTGGGGAAAAAGCTGGCCATGCCCATCCCAGTCACATGACACCACCACCACCAAGCCATGCCCACAGAACCGGTGAGTGGGTGGGGGTTAGATTTCACCACTGGGTTGAAGGCCCCACTTGCTTCCGTGCGAGAAGGAAGAGGTTTCATTGCAAGGGCTCATTGGTTCCGAGGGGGCATGGCCAGCCACACGTGAATCTTTTCACCCAGCAGTTCCCGGAAAACTGCAAGACTCGGTGGAAGTGAGTTGTGGTACCCTCCCTGCTAAGAGCTCAGGCCGGAAGGAGGACCTGGAAGGATTTGTTCCAGGAACTGAAACCTGTCAAGGGAGCTGGGGGATTATATTGATAAACCGAAGGCAGGGTAGCCGAGAGGCCGTCAGTGCAAAAGCTCATGTTGGATTGCAACTTTGAGACGCAAAGTGAGGAATACACAACCAAATTCCACCTGGGGTTCTGGGAATGTGAGCCGCAACATCTCCCCACTTCCTTGCGGCTCAAAAGGGGTGGCGGAGGGAGCAGGTGATGGCTCCAGGTCTGAAAGATTTTGTGAGATCCACTGGCCCCCTTTCCCTAAGGTTGCACTTCGGGATCTGCTTCATGGTGCCACTGACCTCAGCCGTCAGAGGAGGAAAATTTCCTTGCCCTGCTTGGAAGCCTCAACATGGAGGAATCTTCAGGGATCTCCTGAAGTCAGAAATGTATTCTTTACGTCCACCATGGTTACTTCTCAGTCTCCTGTGCCATGATTTTCTTCTTGGGTAGCATTAGAAGTTGCCGTTTGACAGCATCTTCTGTGGAGCTCCAGCAGCCACAGCCAGACTTCAGAGGTGGCTTCCAACCTGACTGTCACCAGGGAATCTGACCTTGTGGCCTTCCTCCTCCCTCTCTTCTTCTGCATTTTATGTGCTTTCTGGCTTGGCCAGCATCTTCTGGGGTTATCCAGGATGGTCTTTGGGATGAGCCCATTAGTAGATCTGTCAAACGGCCCCACGGGGGAAGGAGAAAGGCCCACCCCAACCAGGTCTCATTGGAAAGAGTTCTTTGGCCTCCTCTTCCCCCAGTTGTCCCTCCTCTCTGGTTCAACTGCTGGAGGAACAGACTGGAGAAGGTAGACCTTGAAGAAAGGGAGCTAGAAGGGCCTTCTCCCAAGGCCTTTAAGAGGGATGTTCTCTTCTACGACAGGCAACCACATTCCCTTCCGAAGTCAAGGATCTGACCAAGAGGATCCGCACGGTGCTAATGGCCACTGCCCAGATGAAAGAACACGAGAAGGACCCTGAGATGTTGGTTGACCTGCACTTCAGCTTGGCCAAGTCTTATGCCAGCACTCCGGAGCTGCGGAAGACCTGGCTGGACAGCATGGCCAAGATCCACGTCAAAAATGGGGATTTCTCAGAGGTAACTTGAACGTTGGGCGTTATCTGATGAAATGAAATTCAATGGTGAAAAGAGTCAGGTTCTACATTTAGGCAAGAGAAACGAAATGCACAGGTACAGTATAGGTGGTACCTTCCTCAACAGCGGTTGAATGCAGCGCTGCAGGCTACTTCAGCTGACTGCAGTTCTGCAGTTCGGCTGTTCAAATCTCACCNGAACTTCTTACAGTGGGCAGAGTTAGCAATAGCTATAGCACTTCACAGTGCTTCACAGTGCTCTACAGCCCTCTCTTAAGTGGTTTACGGAGTCAGCCTCTTGCCCCCAACAATCTGGGTCCTCACTTTACCCACCTCGGAAGGATGGAAGACTGAGTTAATAACCTTGAGTCGCATCAGGATCGAACTCCTGACAGTGGGCAGAGTTAGCAATAGCACTTAGACTTATATACTGCTTCACAGTGCTCTACAGCCCTCTCTTAAGCTGCTTAAAGAGTCAGCCTCTTGCCCCCAACCATTTGGGTCCTCATTTTACCCACCTTGGAAATATGGCAGGCTGAGTCACCCTAGAGCCCCATCAGGATCGAACTCCTTCCAGTGGGCAGAGTTAGCAATAGCAATAGCACTTAGACTTATATACTGCTTCACAGTGTTTCCAGTCCTCTCTAAGCTGCTTAAACAGTCAGCCTCTTGCCCCCAACCATCTGGGTCCTCATTTTACCCACCTCGGAAGTATGGCAGGCTGAGTCACCCTGGAGCCCCATCAGGATCGAACTCCTTACAGTGGGCAGAGTTAACAATAGCAATAGCACTTAGACATATACCCACCTTGGGAGGATGGAAGGCTGAGTCAACCTTGAGCCCTGGTGAGATTCAAACTGCCAAATTGCAGGCAGCCGGCAGTCAGCAGAAGCAGCCTGGAGTACTGCACTCTAACCACTGTGCCACCATGGCTCATTTACAGCCCTCTCTAAGTGGTTTACAGTGTCAGCCCAACAATCTGGGTCCTCATATGACCCACCTCGGAAGGATGGAAGGCTAAGTCAACCTTCAGCCCTGGTGAGATTCAAACTGCCAAATTGCAGGCAGCCGGCAGTCAGCAGAAGTAGCCTGCAGTACTGCACTCTCACCACTGCGCCACCTTGGATCAGTGTTTGGGGTGGCTTGGGGTTATTTAAAAGCAAATTATCTTGTCTCTCTCAAGCCCTTTGGGGGATTTTCCTGTCAAAGTCCAGCCGGATCCGTTTCTCCCTAGAACCAGCTTTCGAACAACGACGGGCACAACCCACTGATGAAAAAGGTCTTTGATGTCCATCTGGCCTTCCTCAAGAACGGACAGTCGGAGGCGGCCCTGAAGCACGTCTTCGCCTCGCTCAGAGCTTTCATCAACAAGGTTAGCCAAGACGAGAGGCGGAATTGCTCCAGAGTGGCTGGTGGCTGCCCCGTTTCATCTTCGCTTCCCTCCCTGGCTCGGATGAAAATAGATCACTTCTCCAATTCCAGGCGCTGAACCAACATGCACCTGTTTCCTCTTTGTGGTCGGGTTTATTTATTTGTTTATTTTTTTAAAAAAAAATATGTCCTGGATTTTGACCAAGCATGTCGAAGGGTAGGGAAAAGAGGTAGGAAGTGTCCAAGAACCACCCCACACAGCCGCTTTGTTCCGCTTTTGTTAACCGCGATAGTAAAATATTTATTTCGGGCCTGGCTTCCTAATGTACCGTTCTGTATGCTGTGCAAAATACGAATTTCAACCGAGCTGATTTTGCTCGATTTCTCTGTCCCTCCTGCAGGGTCTTTTCTGAGCTTCCACTGGGGCAGGGGGTGGAGGGGGAGGTGTTCCTTCTGGTTCCACCACAAAACCGCGTTCGACTAAAGCGCGCTCGACGAAACCGCGTAGCTGACGTCATCACAGGGCGACAACAGCGCGGCGACAGAAGCACGCTGTAAACGCTAAACCTAAAATTAACTATT